GCAGTTCATATTTGTCTCAGTGAATCATTAATTTTTGACAGACACCTGTACAAAATACTTGGACTAAAGCCAGCAAAAATTTTCTGTTATCTTGCATGTTTTATGAATCTATTCACATCTAAATGCAGCACTTTTTTTTTTGCAATGAGACATTTGTTTTTATACTAAAATATCTGAATTACTTTGAATAAAGCTGGAAATTATGTCCCTTAAAATAATTAAACAAATAAGGCACCAATGTTTTTGTAAGATATTTACATCTTTTAAGGACATTCGGTGGACTGATTCCCCACTGTTGGTTCAACCCCAAAACTTTTTGTATTCAAAATTAATTATGACAATGCATATTTATATTGAAACAAACTATGATAAAAAGAATTATATTATATAACAAAGGGCAAGGTCACCAGAGTTCAACTATGTTTAAATATATGTGAAACTATACATGTACTAATGTTCCAGATCTCTGGGTAAATTCCTGTATTCAAGATTAGATTATATAACTTATGCAATGGTTTAATTAGATAATCTGAACTGTATTTTATTAGTTCTGAACAATAACCATCATAACCTGCTGACTTTTTAGCTCCGCTGTCGACTTTGTCGAGCGAAGCTTATCATATGAGTGATTGTCCGTCGTCCGTGTCAATGTTTTACTTTTTTGACTTCTTCTTCAAAACTACAAGCCTGAATGCTTTGATACTTGGTGTATATGTACCTTGGGTAGACCTCTCTCAGATTTGTTCATTTCATGATCATATCTTCAATTCTCTAAATTTGGTGATTATTTTTGTCATTTTTGGTAAAAAGTGATATTTTCGACTTCTTGTTAAAAACTGCAAGTCCAATAAACCAGGGCGTTTATTACAGCATTTGGATACTTGTACTGATTTCTGTTGCAACATTATGTAGAAAGTAGTTAAAAATTACAGAAAATGTAAACTTTGAAAACAAAATTATGACACACCACATCTGTGTGGTAAAACTTGACAGTGTCACAATTGCAACCTTTAGTTATTACATTATTACAGTTAAGCTTGTTGCATGTGTGAGTATATATCTGTAACAAATATTTACATGTAAGTAAAAATGGTG